GTTTCTGGAATCCTAACTATTATATGCCTATGTGTAGATTTTTTTGGTCAAGGCTATTTGGAGTCCTTTATGCCACACTTATCTGTATGTCATATTCTTTCCCCCTACTTGGTAAGTTTTCTGCCATCACTTCTGTGAACAGTTTTTTTTTGTTTTTTGTTTTGTCATCTGCACTCTCTCCTGTTACTTCATTGGCTGTGATCAGTCTTATGTAATTCTTTGCATTGTCCAGCAGCTGCTGGATTGATTTATGTGGTTCCTTACAATTTTAAAGAAATTTTTCTTTTCCTTGTCACTAATTGCAGTCTTATCTTCTATATCTGAAATTCTGTCCTCACATAGCTCATTCTGCTGTGTAAGCTTTAAATGGAGTTTTTAATCTCCTGGAAATCTGTATGTATTTGTTTTATGGATTCCATTTGTTTCCTATGTTGGGATTCCATCATGTTCCTAAGCTCCTCTATTTTTTTTATCTGTTTCCTCTCTAGATTTATTAATCATGTTTTGCACTATGGGCACAATCTCTGCTGTTAAGTGAGAAATTATTTCTGATTTCATTTTTTCCAGATCCTCTTTTGTTGCCAGTTCAGGGAGTCCAGGTGGTTGAGTATCAGATTGTTCCCTCTCCTTTCTCTTTGGGGTTGCTGTAGGTGATTGGAAGTCTGGTTTTGAGGCTTGTTTACATGTGTTCTCATTTCCACAGGAGCAAGGATGTATGTGTGCTGCTGGTGCCCATTAGGCTCACCTCCTCTGCTCTGGGAGTGGTGCTATGGCAGCCTGGGAGCCTCCTCCTGGGTGCCGGGATTGGCTTACCTCCTCTGTGCTGGGAGCAGTGCTATGGTGGGCCAGGAGTCTCCTCCTCCTGGGAGCTGGGATTGGTTCACCTCCTCTGTGCTGGGAGCGGTGCTATGGCGGCCCCACAGCCTCCTCAGGTATTTGTTCCTCTGACATGCCCTTCAACCATGCTGTTTCTGCCTTTCGGACAGCTGCTTTTTTTTTTTTTTTTTTTTTTGAGACAGGGTCTCAGTCTTTTTGGCCTTGAACTCAGTATGTAACCCAGGGTGGCCTAGAACTTGTGGCAATCCTCCTGCCTCAGCCTCCCAAATGCTGTGGTTATAGATGTACACCTCCATACCTTGCCTAGAGCCAGCTACTGTGGACTGAAACTGAGCTAAAATAAACCTTTCCTCCTCTAAGTTGCAGCTATTGGTTATTTTGTCCCACTGACAGGAAAGTGACTAAGGTAGTGAGGTTTAGAGGAAACATTCAAATTATAGCACCTGTATTCTCTTACTTTGGCCTCAGATTCAGTGGGTGAAGTGAAAAGTGTTCAGTAGTTAAGTGTATAAAAGAGAAGACAAGAAAAAGACTTAAATAGTTTTCTATGATGACTAGACAGCTCCTCAGTTACATTTTCTGGAGCTCTGTCCTTAGGGGACAGGGCTACAATTACAAAACTCAGCTTTTTATATTATGATAGCTGTATTAAAACATGATATGATGTATCACACCAGGGATCAAGTCCCAGTTCTGCTGTTTACTAGCTGTGTGACATTGGGATAAGTACTTTACCCCTCTGAGTTCACTTGTCTACAGAGTCAGGGTGATGATAAGTTCCTTATATATTTGGGTTATAAAATAGAGATAGTCTATTTCATTTTGCCATAACAAAATACCTAAGACTGGGCACTAGCACAGGCTTATTTGGCTCATAATTTTGGAGGTTTAAATTCCAAGACCTATTTAGCCTCTGATGAGGGTCTTCTGGCTGTATCACAATGTGGCCTAAAATATCTTGGTAGAAAGTCAAGAGGGAGAGCGGTCACATAGTAATGCAGGAATCAAGAAACTGGCAGAGCTAGGTTTGCTCTTTTGTAAGAACTCATTCTACTCCTAGGAATGAGTCCACTGTAGGAGACCTGACCTATTCCCATGAGACAGCATTAATTCATTCAGAAGGTTAGAGCTCCCCGACCTCATTACCTTCTATCAGGCCCATTTCTTAAAGGCTCTATCACTTAAAAACCAATAGACAGGGGTCCAGACTTCTAGCATATGAACCTTAAAGGAGCAAACCATATCCAAAACATGATAGAGATACATGTAGAGAGAACAGCTCAGTGACTGGAAAGTCCCGGGGTATCAGCTGTTACATTAGGCAGGTTGATGAAAATGTATGCTTTAGAATGTTAAATTTATTATGATTCAAAATGATACACTAAGAAACCAATTTGAGATATAATTTGAAGGTAGGACAAATGTAAGTGCTTGTGCCTGGAGGGAATTAGAATAGAGGAAGAAGGAATTCTGGAAGAATATGTATGTATGTATCCATCTTGTAAGTTACATTATCTTTTTCTAGCTACCAAGTGATTTGAGACCATTTATGTTAGGTCTTTTTTAAGAGTTTGCATAACAAAATACCACAAACTGGTTGGCTCAAACAAGTGAAATTTATTTTCTCACAGTTCTGGAGTCTGTCAGTCTGAGATCAAGGTGGGTTTGCTTACTTGTGAGGCCTCTCTCCTTTGCTTGCAGATGATCACCTTCTTGTTTATATTGTCCTCAATTTGGTATGTAAACAAGCAACCCGGGTTTCTTATGTGTCTTCTTATAAGGACACCAGTAAAATTGGACTTGGACCCGCCCTAATGGCCTCATTTTAGCTTTATCACCTATTTAAAAGCCTTTTCTGCAAATACAGTAACATTCTTTGGCACAGCTGATTAGGGCTTCAGCATATTGATTTTAGGGGAACACAATTCAGTCCCTAACAGCATTGAACAGTGAGTTCAGTAATTTTTTTTTGGCTTAATATATTTATGCTTAGTTGTATGATTATACCCCTCTTGATCTTTTGTGTTGTTGCTGGACATTTTTAGGTTATCTTATATTTTTTCAGTTGTAACAATGCTCCTATAAATAGTTATATATTAATGTTTTGTATAGTGTGTGAGTTTCTCTGGCTCTGATTATATGTGATGAAGTAGATTTATTAAACTGTAGTGAGTGAAATCTCTGCTTATGATAGACATTGCCAAATTGCCCAGCAAAGTTTGTTTATTCTGCCTGGATGTGTCAGAGAATTCTTGTTTCATTTTCTCCCAGGTAGCAGCGATACTATAAGATTTTTAAAAATTCCGATTGATATGAATCTCTTAGGGTTGTATTGTGCATTGTTCTACTCGTTTGATATTGAGTATCATTTTGTGTCTTTATTGATCATTTAAGATTTCTCTTCTGTGAATTACTTGTTCATATCTTTTTCTTGTTTTACTTTTCTTATTGTTTTATTGACATATTTTTTCTAACTGCTGCTTATTTCATTGTTAATTATGTGTTGGAGAAATACATTTTTGCAGTTTATAGATTGTCTTTTTCACTTTGTTTATGAAGTCTTCTTTTGTGCAAAAGTTTTGAATTATGTTTTGAAATGGGATCTTGCTAAGTTAGTTGCGTAGGCTGGTTTGGAACATGTGATCCTCTTGCCTAGCTGCCTGAGTAGATGGGATTACAGGCTCTTGATACTCTGCCTAGGTAGAAGTTTTACATTTTTAATGTTAAATTTATAAAATTTTTTCTTTATAGTTGTTTTTCTGTTGTTATTTATTTTTGAAACAATGCTTTAAGTGTCTTGATGTCAATTGAAGGAAAAACAAAATCACATATTGCTTTTTGTTTCATGGAAGGATGCGTTATACAAGCTGTTAATTTCACTAAGATATAATTTTAAATGATAGTGTTTTTGTTTTATAAGACTGAATTTTCTATGTACCCTAGCAGATGTGGTTTGAGACCGTATTTTGTGTTAATTCCAAAAGCTACTATTTCCATTTGTGGGTGGGTCTGTCATAATGATACAAAATAAATAAGTTTCTTTCTCTGTCAGTAAATAAAAGAGAACAGTGACTCCATCTTTGTGTGTTTTCCTAGAATTTCTTGACCTTTTGTAGCTCATTATAATCATCGAGAATGTACTAGATTCTCATTGCTATTAACTTTATGCTGCTAAGAGAAGCATTTGTTAATGTTATTTTACTAAAAATTATGCCTACTTTTTACCAATAAATAAGGTTTTATAGAAGTCTAGGGTAACATTTTCTCTGTATGCCATTTTCACAAGTCAGTTGTATACTTTGTAATTTTTTCCACATTTTGCTTCCTCACCACAACCTTACACCTTACCTTATACTTCTAAAAAATGCATATTAGGGCTGGGGATTTAGCTCAGTGGTCTGCCGCCTGCCTTGCAAGTGCAAGGTCCTGAGTTCCATCCCTGGTAACAAAAACCAAAACAACAAAAAAATGCATATTATGTGTGTTTTTGATTATGTGTGTTTTAAATGCTTACTGACTTACTGAGGACTCATTGAGTATCTGCATGTAGGCTATAGTCTCCTTGCTAGTCTCCCTTGTGCTGTTTGGCTATTTTCTGGTTTGTTTATAATTTGTATCTCTGTATACCAGGGCAGAGGTAAATACTGTCTTTTCAGTTGTCATTATAATTTAGTTCCTGAAATTGGTGTATAAAATCCACCAAAGTTCAAGAAGTTTTAGAGTGGTGGTAGTGTAGTCCCCAGTCTGTCTCTCAGGAATTTAACTAGATTTGCCTATTCTTTGGCCCCACCTTAAACCTACTGAATGAGAATGAAGTAGGGAGTGGGCTAGGCTGAAAAAGTGTAGAGAAAAGGGGAGGTCATCTGATCATTTCCCTCTTTCTGTGAACACACTGACCTTCATGTCTTTTCACTTGTCTACCTATGCTAGACTGCTGAAATTATGTAACTTTTTGATGTGCATCTGGTATCCCAGATTTCAAAGCAAAATCACTCGTTTATAAATATTTACCTGCATACAGTATTTAGCTCTGTAAAGGATAAAAAGAAATAAAAGGCATAGTCACTGCTCACATGCTTGAGCAGTTTAGAGACTTGGGTTCAGATTCTAGCTCTGAATTTGACTTGAGGGAGAATCTTTGTCAGGGTTCTCAGTGTCTGCATCCCATTTTCTTTTGTTGTAAAGTGAAGGCAACACCTACTGTGCACTTCTGACTGGGATGTTCAGGGGATTAACAAATAATGTATATGAAGTACAGTACTTTAAACATAATAGGCACTCTGTAAATGGTAACTGGATGATATTATCATGATAATCATCTTTTAGTTATTTCTGTACTTGAACATCACACTTGACTCTACAGCGGATGCTATATTAATGGTCTAGGTGACACTTTTCAGGAATTGCTTTCCTGGCTCCGTGATGATTCCATCACAGTGGATAATTTAATTAGCCTCTGCCTGCTGAGCACTGTGGCTATGGCACTCGGGAAGAAAAATGTGGTATAGAAAGAAACAGTTTTGGAGTCAGACAGATCTTGATCTGTCATTACTCCACCATTCACTAGCTAATACACCTTGAGCATGTTGTTCAGTTCTTCTTTCTTCATTTTTTTCACAGAAAAGGGTAACATCTACCTTGAAAGGTTGCTGTAGGGATTAAATGAAAATGTACGTGAAGCACTTAGCCCAGGTAGGGTTAGGGTAATATCTGCAATGATTATTGCTTTGCCCCCCCGCCCCACAACCTCTTTCACATTACAGAATTTTAGGGTCTGTTTTATCCCTAATATATGTTGAATTTTCTTTCATATTTACACTTGGTGACCAGAACCTAAGTGACTTACTTGAAAAGGAGTAAGTTAACAAGGTAAAATTTATTTTGATTTAACAAGTCTAAGCATTTGTGATTCTTGGACCTTATAGATTTTTTAGTGTGTTTATGAAAATGATATTTTTTTACTCAGAAAATAAACATAACAAAATGAACCATTTTAACAGTTTTGAAGTGTACAGCTAAAGTATCTTCACGTTGTGGTGCACCTATCTTAGATTTGGTATAGTATTTGAAAATTTATTTCATATTTTCTGTTTGC